TTGGCAACCAAGCCTCTGGACATACTTGCACAGTGAGTCATGGAGCATCAGGAGACACTGAGGAAGAAGGTGTGACGCTATTTTCTCATGAAAAAATAAATGGTATAGATGACGTACATGGCATTCTGATGACATTATCTGATGTGTTTTTAAGTTGGAAGGAACAGTAGATGCACATCTGAGGTGTTAAACCTTAACAGAAATATAAAAATCAGTCCAGACACAAATAAACACACGTGCTTCTGGTCAGTTTGAGGATTGTGCTAATCATCCTCTGAGTGTTGTTGACAGGCATTAGTTTCTTTGCTAAGTGTATTGTATCTGCACAGCAAGTTACAGTGCCACACCCAGCAGCTCCCTTCTCAGTCTGCTTGAGCCTTTCCAGTCAGCTGTCTGAATCTTGGCTGGAAACAGGGCGGAGGTCATCATAACCAAATATGGGCCCGTTTTCCACAGAAAGGTATCTTCGGACTTACTTCTTGCATCAGCCCCTTCATTAAGCACACCTGTTCAACCACGTGTTAATGCAAATATCGGATCAGTCAAGGGATTTAAAGGCAGATAAGGGAGAAGCTTTGTAAAGTCATATAGACACGGTCAAGGTGACCCGCTGAAGGTGAAACAAGCCATAAGAATGGGAAAAAAAATGATTGAAGACACTTTGAATGTGGCATGTTGGTATTGCAGAAACTGCTGATCTACTGGGGTTTTTGAGACACAACCATTTCGAAGGTTTAAAGAGAAAGATCCAAAAAAGAGAAAATATCCAGTGAGCAGAAGATCTGTGGGTGAAAATGTCTTGTTGCAGCTGCTTTTTGATGCCAGATGTCAGAAGAAAGTGGCCAGACTACTTTGAATTGATATGAAGGTAACAGTAACTCAAATATTTACTTGTTAAAATTAAGGTATGGGTTTATAACACATTTCAACTTGCTGCAGAAGACCACACTGAGTGCCACTCCTGTCAGCCCAAGAACAGAAAACTCATGGGCTCTCCAAAACTGGACAGCAGTGAACTGGACAAATGTGTACCCATCTTCTGGTGGCTGCCTCCTGCAGGATAAAACACCATGTCACAAAGCTTAAAGGATCTCATTCTTGAACATGAAAATGAGTTCAGCGTACTCAAATAGCCTCCAAAGTCACCAGATCTCAATGCATAATGCAGTAGAACAGCAGATTATTGTCATGACTGTGGAGTGGACAAATCTGCAGCATCTGTGCGACGCTATCATCATCATTAACAGTGTTTCAGCACCTTGCTGAATCTGTGCCATTAGTTCTGTAGGAAAAAGGACTTCCAACTAAGCTGGGAGGTGAGTATATATCCTCTCATGAGGATCGTTTTGGTTTTATGTAGACATATTTTAAACATGTTCTCTCTGTTGTTTGTCGTTTGTCAGTATAATACAATAGGGGCATAGTTAGAGGTGTAGCGTTATTGTTTTATTTTTGCATTCAGCTTCCGGCCTGCAGTAAATCCCGCTCGTGTGCTGGTCTACTTGAAGGTGACCAGGGTCTTGATCCTGCCTGTGAGCACAACTACTGAGGATGCAAACCTGTTAGACATGCTGGTGAAAAGCCCTTCTATCAGGACTGCTCTGGTGAGGTTATCTGATGGGCCCAGTTAGGCTTCATTAGACTGGATCATAATGAGGTGAACAGACAAACACATTAAATTCAGCTGGAAACTCTTCTGTACTGCCTGAAATGTCATGTTATTAGACTACATGTTGTTGCAGTTGCAGAGGGGGGAAATGACGAAGCCTTTATTATTTCTTTAGGATTTAAAAAAAACTGTTGAGTGTCTCACTTCACGGCTCTTCCTGTTTGAGTTTCCTCACTCTGCTCCGCACAGAGCAGACGTCCCTGCAGGATAATACTCGGATGAGCATTATCTGCAGAAAGCAGCCTCAACTTAATCCAAACTGCACCGAGGGCAGGAAACTATTGACGACCCCCGTGTAGAAGGTGAGACGAGAAAAAAAGCTAATCATAGCTCACAAAATCTCAAGAATTCCACGCGTTCGTGAACACAGATCTCTTTTTAGGTTTAATATAAACCCCAGCTATTTCTGTGTCAATATTGAACATGCAGAGATTACATATTTAATCTCTGACGCGGATACTATTTTATGGTCGAGGAATGCTTTTGCTGAATTACAGCATGTTTGACATTTCGAGATTCCTCACATTTTTCACCGGTGATAAACTCCCAGTACGCTTCTGTAAGCCTACCGGCGCAATCCAGATGCAAAAATACCCGGGGAAGAAGATGACATAAAATATTTTGCAGATGGTCCAGAAATTCAGACCTGAGACTTTTGTAATCTGTGAATACTTCACATATTTGTTGCGGTCTTTGCCACATGTGAGAATTAAAGCTCGATGTAGGTGATGATCTCACTTTAATTCAGGTTTAAAGATGATTAAAAAAAAATACTTTCACTCTAATAAATCAGAAACCTGATAAAACAGAGGCCTGTAAATATTTAAGTTTCATAAAACTAACAAAGGTATCTGAATTGCCCATCTGACATTTCCACCGCTGTTTATTGTTGATGATATTTTCACCTGAAACACTGATATCATCCAGTTGTTTTTCCTTCAGGAAGTTCCTGCAACTGCTCATTAATTGTTGCTGAGGGGCCAAAGTTTGAGAAAAACAAGCTGCACCACCAGCTCCAAGTTCAAGTTAACTTAAGAGGGGAAATAGGGGCTGAGGGTAGATTTTATTGTTGCATTAATGGACCGTTCTTGCACCGAATGTTTGTGCGCTACCGTGTTTTTCTGCATTTCGCCTTGCCGTGTTGTTTTGTAATATTGTCATGGGAGTTGAACTGACGTCAGATTTCTTCCTCTCATTCAGGTGGCGGGTGGACTCTAGCACTAGATCTTCATTTTCCTAATCAGCTCTTCTGCTCTCTCCTCCAGAACGGGTCGTCCTTCCCTCGACCTCTGTGCTCATCCATTTCCTTCCAACTCTTTTAAGATTTCTTGTCCTTTTCACTGACTCATGATGTTTCCTTATGCAGATCCCTTTTAGCCAGGCACATTTAAGTAAGGAAGTATTGGTTGTACTTAGCTTGTTAGGGCCACCTTTAGTACTATGTTGAAGCTTTTTGCTGCAAAAACATCCTCAAATACACTATAGGTTTCAGAGCCAGGACATTTTCAAGGAGCAGGTAAGAATATATTTGCTTTGGAGTTCAGTTTCAGTGGAGTCGAGGAGCATTTTAAAATTAAACTGGGAGTCCATCCAGCGTGTTACACGTGTCTCACTCCTGTCACAGCTGGAAGAGGCTCCAATCCGTTCTGCAACAATGACCTTTACAGGCAGCAGAAAATAAATAGATACCTTTATATTATTTTTGCAATAATATTTTGCAAAAGTTGACTATTTTCACGTGTAAATAAATGTTTTCAATGTCTTCAAAGTGAGTAGTTACCTGTCAAATCACGATGATTAACACTTGAGAATCTGTCAAAGTCTTATAATAAGTTTTGCCAGTGATCCAATAGTCTAACAACTACAGCGACCAGGTAGCAAGCTTAATGAGGAACCACGGCTGCAACCACACAACATTTTCATCCCTCTTCCCTCCAAACCAGGCTCACGTGACGCCTCGTGACCTATTACATGTTTATTATGTGAAAGCGGTGCAGCACAAGAGTTTACACATAATTTTTGGTTGGATAATTGTTTTGAAACACTGAAAAGAAGTGCTAAGTAGTAACATGCGTACAGATGAAGCTTATGCATAAGTCTAATCTAACTTTACATCACTTCCACTTTCTCATGCTGTCAAGCTGATTGTGACATCACTGGTATCATCTTTCTTCTTCAAAGCAATCAGCCTTCACTTCCCGTACATTAAATCTCACTGCACATCTGTCATTCTCTCTTGCAGACGCCTTCATGCAACCCACCTCCTCCCCATCTCTGCCTCTCCCTCATCAGTCAGTCTCCATTTAAGCCTCCATCTTCATCTCCACCACCATTGTCTAGACTCTGGGGGGTCTAGACATTCCTTATCGGCCCATTCCTTTTAAAGAGCTCTCCTTATTGAAGTACTTTTCGTTTCTGGAGATTTCAGGTTTCAATCGTGTGGTCTCGGACATGTTTTTGTTTGTTTGTTGGAGACTTCAGGCCTCTGTCCCCTCACATTCATCCAGCACAGAGTTCAACCTCGAGGCTCTGACACACAAAATATGGGACGGGAAGTAAACATTTTCCTAAATGGGTAAACATTTGGCAGCCAAAGTCATATGAGTTTGGAGATATGTCGATTTTTGGGGCATATTTTTAGAGCCTTTGTGAAATGTTTTAAAATGAAACAGGAAGTTGGGAAGTTTATGGCCCCGCCGCCCACCCTACTTCCTTCGCTCAGCCATGAAAGACATGTGGAGAGAGATAAAACAGTGTGTCAACAGACTGCCAGAGGCTGGCCAGTATAGCTCTGACACAGTTTAATGTTACAGATATTTAAAATAGTTTGTTATCTGCTTGTACACCAGTTTCTGCTGTGACTAACGCTTACATGTGCTTTATAAACCATTATTAATCATTTAATTAACCTTTAAATGCTGATTAAGAATTATAAAGAGGAAAACTCACAGTAAAAAGTTGCAAGGTTGCAAAACAACACCGTGGCCACTTTAAAACCTCGGACAAATAATACTATCATTGAACCGTTTCCTCACCTGGCTCATGTGTGCCCAGCCCAATTTTACTCTTTAAGTGTGTTTGTGTGTGTGTGGGTGGGGGGTATGTATCCATGATCGTTTATGTTAATGAGAGTGTGGGGAGTGAGTTGGAGGGCGGGGTGGGTTGCTTTTAACCATGCAAAGCACTTTGTGCTACATTTTTGTATGAAAAGTGCTTTATAAATAAAGATTGATTGATTGAACCATTTGATCTTCATTATAAAAGGCTCAGTGGAGAATATGTACAAGCCAAAAATGTTTGTGTTTATTTAATAAAATAAAGACATTAAAAAATGCCAAAAAGCACAAAGTTTATTTACCAGCATGGATTTTAACAAAATCTGCAGGATTCATTCCTCAAGTTACTGACATTGATTATTTTAGTTTAAATTAATTAAAAATAATCATAGTTTTCTATCACCGTTTTCAATTTAAGATCTCAACAACAACATGATCATTAAAATGAATTTGTTAATTATTATTTCCATTATATTTTTAATGACATGACATGGAAGGACAACACACTCAAGATCTACGATATATAATATAATTTAAATAAATATGCCATTCTGAACTGTTTCATGAGAGCAAGCGTCTGGGTATGTGGCTGCTTTGCTCTTAGTAACTGCCGGGATCCACTGACTCGGGCCTCTGGGGGCTTGGACCCAGGTACTGTTCAAACTCGCTGCGATCCAGATCATACAGCATATCAGCCTTAACCCTTTCTAAGTAGAACTCCAGGGATGGCCCAGGAAGGCACTGGGGGCCTCCATAGACCCTGAACTCCCTCTGATTCCCAATGGGAGCTGCAGGACTGGAGAAACCTTCCTGGATGTGGCCCTGCTGAGGGTCAAAATACCCTTTAGCCTGTGCAGCGTACACAGGAGGGTTTGAGTATATGATAGGATTATTTGGGGCTGTGGCTTCTTTTCCTTGGTCTGGGAAGTCAGGGGTGTTTGCATAGCTGCTGTGACAAGAGGTGTAGTTAGCTGAGGAGTTTGGGAAGGTGTGTGCATTTTGGAAAGGCTGCTGGTGATTCTGGAGCAGGTAGGTGAGGTTGTAGGGAGGTCTGAAGCCTGAGCTGCATAATGAAGGTGTCGATGCTTCTGGAGTCTTTGGGCTTTTCTTAAACTGCTTCCTCCTGCGTGGCTTGTACTTGTAGTTAGGATAGTCAATGGTGTGCTGCACTCTTAGACGCTCAGCTTCCTTCATGTAGGGACGTTTTTCAGCCAAGGACATGGCTTTCCAGGCTTTCCCTGCAGAATAACACAGCAGTAGAGCTCTATACATTGACTAGCTTGATAAAACTGACCTTTGACTAATAAAATAAAATCCTGGTTTGAGGCCATATCTGAAACATGTTGTGTTATTTAAGAAACAAAAGACACAGATTATTATTTTACCTAGTATTTTGCTCAGGTCGGTGTTTTCCAGGTCTGGGTTGAGCTGTGCCAGTCGCCGGCGCTCCTCTTTGGTCCAGATAATGAAGGCGTTCAGGGGCCTCCTGACCCTCTGCTGTGCCGCAGCAGATTTGGGTTCGGGGCTGGTGCAGCTGGAGTCCGAGTTCGCCGAAAGCGGGCTGGAAGGCCCTGAACTCGGGGAACACACCTGGGCCATCTGGTCTCCGTCTGCGATTGGCAACTCTTCGCTGCACGAAACGGAGCTGCAGAACTGGAAATCTGCGGGGTCCTGACCGAAGTACATGTTTGCAGATGGCTCTGTTGCTGGCTGTCATCCTCCTGATGATGAAGAGTTATATATGTGGGCGCTCCTCCAATGAGAGGCCAGGAGGAGTGGATTTAAGGTGTGAATTCCAGGTGTGTTCTCAGGTCTGTGACCCGGCGACCCAATCAACGATTTTACGAAACTTCAGATTGGGGTCCGTGTAGAGTCTGTCTATACCCCACAGTTTTTTTAATCTAATTAGAAAAATAAAGCTTCACCCGTTTTATTGTCAAACGGAATAAACTCAAAGTCAACGTAATTTGTGTCTTTATCCACGTGTAGATGACACAATGGAGGTTCTGCACTGGGACAGGATTTATGTTTGTGAGGTGAAAACGTGACACTTTTATATCTTCTACATAATCAAAAAAGGTTTAAGACTTGTTAACATACTCAGATACAAACACGTGAGCTTTGCGCTCTTTAAATGGACAAAACAGACACACAAACACACACACACACACACACACACACCTTGTTGTTTTTACCTCTGACCCACCTATTAAACCCCCATTAGTAAAACCAAATCACGCCTTTTGATCAATAGTGCCTGAGGGCCAGGGAAGGAATTGATGAGCCCACATCAAAAGTTTTCAGGAGGCAAGGCTGGTTACTAATTACACTGTGTCTTTCAGCTCTTATCGGCCATCCACTGTCTTTATCAAAGTTCATTTTACACAACTGAATCAAACGTGATCAAGGCGCGTTTATAACGCGATTACTGCTCGCAAATGTTTGCGAACACGCACACAGAGAAAAGCGTTGATAGGCCCACACAAAGACCCATGATGAGCCATTATGCGGGACAGCAAGAAGGAGAAATTGCCCGACCTTATCGGTCTCAGCAAAAAGATGAAATAAACAGTGGGACAGGCTGACTGGCTCCCCGAAAAAAAGTGGATTGAAATCCTCAGACATTCAGACGCACAGAAACTGCAGTTGGCGCATCGCTCTCCAATTCCAGCTCAAACTGTCTGTGCCACCTTCTTTACAAAGTTTTATCCTAATTTAATTCCAACACACACACACGAACAGATTTTATTTAATTTGCTGCGAATATTAAAGCTTTCCTTCACACTTTATACAGTTTGTAAACGAAGAAAACTGTCAGGACCGCAGTTTCTTTACAATAACACACAAAAAAGGAAATAGCCACCAATTAAGTCCACGCAATGACATTATAGTGATAGCAGCAGTCATTTACAAACACAATGGGATAAAAGTGACTTTAAATGAATAGAAATGACCAGCCCAGAAACCCGGGAGGCTCGCGCTCCCTCTGTAATGCAATTGGATGCCATTACAGGTGCTAGCTTCCCCTTTACGGTTTCCATGAATGTCTGTCTTTGCAACTGACGGCATGCATTAGACAGACAATAGGTGCATTATGCAGACATTTGCAACTTTGAGTCTGCAATATATGTCTGTCTGCGGTCCTGACTCTCCACCATTTGAACTGAAGAAGCTTCTCGGATGAGAGGTGAAACGTCTTCAAGTAACTTAAAGAAGTCCAGACGCTTTTCTTTGCAAGCTCCTTTGACCAGTCTGCAATATACTGTGCATCCGTGAGACCTGCACCTGCTCTGCATTATCTACTTAGCAGAGTCACTTACGCGCAACTTTAAAGTGTAAATGGTCTACGGTGCTGTTTAAAGTACAGAGGGTTAATACACAAGGGTTTGCACTGATCTTAAGGCGAGTTCTGCTAGAATACACATATTGAAAACACAAGTCCCCACTTTAAAGGGCTTTCCAGTGAGCCTCGAAATGAGCCCGTAATAGGAGGTTTTTTATTTGCTTTTGCTTTGGACTTTGTTTTAACGTCGCAGTCAATCAGGTGAAATGGAGATCTTTAAGAAAATCAATAATGTGTCACGCAGGCAAACTCAATAATAGACGTAATTAAGGTGAGTTGTTTCAACCGTGTTCCCACTATTGGCGACCAAATATAAAACTAAGAGTCGAAACTGATAAGCTGGTATGTAGCTTTGGTAAAGAAACCAATAAAAAAACTAAAAAAAAAAAAAAAAACCCATGACAAATGTGGAGGTTATATGTCAGATTTAAAGTCGAATTACTCGTCAGAATAACTGGTGATTTGGTGGTGGGGGAGGTGGGGGTGTCAGAATTATAGGTTGAATCCACATCCGCGGGGTAGAGCGGGACGCATGCTCCAACGTGCTGTGAAATGCGCTAATGGATTTAATCAATTACCTTGAATGGCGCAGCGTGAATACAATAATGTTAGTTTCGGCTGACTATCAGCGCGAACTGAGAGGGCTAAATATTAGACAACCTCTCTGTGTGTGTGTGTCCTTTTATTGTATAACCCACTCCAAACTCCACCACCAGCAGGGCTTTCCTTTGCTGAAAAATGTTTGAAAACGTGTTAAAAGTCCTTTATGTTTGGCTTTATTAATGAATCCTAATCTATGAGGTGACAGTAGGGTATCAGTGCATTGTATCATAGCCAAACAAGCAGCGAGCTGCCACTGAATGGGCACTATGCTTTCTGAATAGGGATTGTTCTCTGTGGCTTTCTGATCACAATGTGCCATTGTATTGGACAGAACTCATATATGGGACACTCCTCTCCTTCTCCACTTTGGATCAGTGATGATCAGGCTGGCACAGGTAGAGCTGTGCAGTCAGGACCTGTAGGAATACCAGAGGGCTACCTTATGAAGGGACAGGCCAGCAGGCTCTTGGAAACGCTGGACAATGCCTTGGTTGGATATTTACTAGATGTGGAGCATGCACTCATTTGGTTTTGTGGTTTTCCGCTTGTGGGCTCTAGTTTTCCGTCTCTGAAGGTGCTCCAACACCCATGCTCTTCTTGTACTATGGATATAAAGTGATTTAAGTTTGCTGACAGGGAGACGCTTTCTTCGGGCTTCTGTCCAAAGGAGAAATCTGATCAAAGCCACAGAGGTGCAATGCAGGAGGCCCGTGTCTTGACCTCTGACACTGCAGCACTGTATTCTGCCTCGGCTTCACTGTCATCCCATTGACTTTCCTTACAGTGCCTCATTCATAAAGAGCTGCATTGTTTTATAGCTGGAAGGTGTGAAGAGGATATGATAGTGTTGTCTCAGGTGACCGTGATCTTCGCGGCGAGAAGCTATATTGCATTGTTGAAGTATTGTATGGGCACAGCAGGCCAGCTTGAGATATACTCTGTCAAGTCTCAGACACCATTCTATGCAGTGGTCTGGTTCCCCCGCCTCCAGCTTCACTTCTCAATCGCATGTTTGAGCAAATTCAACAGCAGATGAGGCCTGCAGGGTCCCGAGCGTCAGCCTCCACACTCCCCGTGTAAACAGCGCCCTGCCCGGCTGGCCCAACGTCAAGCCAGCTGAGAGGATTACATGCCCCCTGGTGTAGACAGGCTTAATGTGGCCTCATTAACAGAGCACAATGATGCCCCCACCTCTGAGCAGAGATAATAAGCAGAGCTCATCCAGACTTCAAACACAGCTCAGACAAACTCGGGAGCCCGGGTGGTTCAGAGTGTCCAGGCGAGGCCATGGAAGTTGAAGAATTTCTGCACTACTTTAAGTAGCAACTGCAGACTTTGTCGCCCAAGTGTGCCGAAAAAGGAGAAAAAGTGCTATTTCAGCATCTAGAAATGTGAAGATTTTAATGAAAGAGGACATGCACTTCACCGTGTAACTGAGAGTACGGCAAAAGCACAAACAGCATGAATAAAAATCCAGTAATATAATTTTTTATGGGACAAACTGTCTTGTAAAAAGTGCAAAGGAGGAAATTATTTAATGTTTTAGAGGAAGCCTTTTTAAAGGCCTTCTGCTTGTCAGTTGACTTGTGTGTATGTGTGTGTGTGTGGCATTTTCGAATCTTATTTTATTTTCTGCACTAAGTGACTAATTAATGTAAGAAAAAATCACTAATGAGTAAATTAAACAGTGCTCTTGTGTTCACAGTATTAAATCACAGCCTCCAATTCCTCTGTCTATCTCCTTCCTCCTTAAACTGCTTTCTAACTTCATTTCATTTGTCTGTCATTCAGAGCTGCTCAGACTGAGACTGGCTAATGAGGCGAAGCTATGATCTCGTCACAGAAGCAGCTCCATTCTTTGTAAATTAGGAATTGTATCCTACACTGATAAGAGCCTTAATTGCACAACTGAGTTGACATCTTTTACTTTCCAGAGAGCTGAGCTTTGGACATTGGATGTCCTCGGTCCCACAGTTTGAAACCAAACTTGATCCCAGACCTCCGCCTCACACCTGTGCCCGGCACACAGCGGAGAAGGAGTCGTGCATTTAACTGTAATTAGCCCTGATTATTATCTGACACTGGCCTGAGACTTGCGAGACACAGCCATGCACAGCGTCTGTCTTAAACGGCTCATTCAAGGCAGCAGATAATCAAATCGATCTGCCGTGCTCAGCACCGACAACAATGTCTGAATGTTTAATTAAACAGTGTGAAATGGTTAGACTCAGACATTAGATTATTTGGAGCAGAAACCAGACACAAAACGCCAGTCTGAAACAAATCTTTTTAGCCAGCTGATTGAGGAAAATACTTGATTCCACTTTGTCATTCTTCTGTGCAAACCTTCAGGCAGCCACACGCTCACAGGGCTGATGTTTGTGCCTCTTTGCACATAACAAAAAAAAATTGTTTAGCTCGCTCCTTTTCTCTCTGTTGCTCGTCTGAGACCTGATACAAATTCAAAAGGATCTGCTGCTTTGAAGATAAGAGCTGTAGTTCTGCCATAAACAATGATTGTGCTGTTTCTTTCCTGTGGCGTGATTTATTTAAAGTATTATGCTTTAAGGATTTGGGCAGGTTTTCCTGGCAGGGCCGGCTGTGTATGTATCCACCGGCCGTATTGGATACTTGAGGATTCAGGAAAACACTCAGGGAACCACAAGGAAAGTCATCAAAGTGAAACCTTTGGCTCGTGGGGTGAAAATTTACTATTTCACTGAAGCTCACCTGAAAAATTATCTTTT